TTGAACTTAAATGAATAAACTTAAACGAATGAACTTAAACTAATAAACTCACTTAATTAAATCCATCTGACTAAATTTCTCCAGATAAGCTCAAACAACTAAAATCAATTAACGAACTTTATCCGATCAAGCTCCTCCGACTAAATTCTTCCAAATAAAATCACCTGCTTAACTCCATAAATTCAACTGATTTAATTTACTCGACTAAATTCATATGGTTAAAGCTCATCCAAATAAATTCACTTGAGTAAATCTAACTTGTCCGATTAAATTCAAATGACTAAATTCAAATTACTAACTTGAACGGATAAGCAGAGAAAATCAGTTAAACGGCCAACCGAACTGTCTTCCGCATCAAAAATTCAAATCACGTCTCGACTATTTTAACCCGGTAACCTGAATCAGCTCGACTAATATTCATAACCAAACGACATATGTTCAACATAAATTCCACAAGAACCGAAATTCCATTGTTCCTTTAAAACCCGACCATTGACCAGCAGGAAGCAGAAAAACGTATATCTGTCAGAATAAATCCCGCAGAGCAAATTCTCGCATCGGCTCAACCTGAATCCACTGATATCTTAACACATTCAGCTCTATATGGATTATTAATCGAACAACACTTCAATACCCAATTGACGACTAAATCTTGGCTCTTGAACAACTTGGGTTGTATTGCTAGAAATCTGACGTCAAAACTACCGTAACATTCAATTCATCCTCAAATAAATCACAGGACTCGAAGATGGAAACCATAATCGCTCGAGGGATTGCTGATGATAACTCTGCTTCAGTAATCTGCAAGTTAATGACCATTTTGCCCCTTCGTAAGTTAAAAAGCGCACAATGTGCTTTTTTCCTACAAAACCAACAAACTGAGCAAAACGGTTAGCGGATAGTTAAACGCCATTGATAACGCAAAAGTATATCGTTTATTTGACTCGATTTACATGCATTTATTTGTGACTATCGTTAATTCATCTTGAGTTATGTTCTATTATGCGGTCAATTTACTTTGTTTTGCAGATTGTGGAGAATTTGGATTAAAGAAAGAAAAGAAGAAAAAATGGAAGGAAAAGAGAGAAGTAAAACAGAAAAAACAGAAAGTACAGAATGTGTGCGTGCCACGCTCGTCACAGCTTCCTCATGATCGTCACAGCCATGACGGTCGTCACAGAGCAACACGGTCGTCACGTTCGTCACGCCCGCCACAGAGTCATCAGGATCGTCATAAACTAAATATCAGAATGACGTCCAAATCAGAAGTGGCCACGATCACTCTCAACATTTCTTCTCCTACACTTTCTCCATTCACTGCTCACTACTGGAAGTTACTCTCACTCCCTCCATAACTCACTCATGATCTCTGGAAGTTGAAAAAATAATACCTCCTATAAATAGGCCTCGCCTCTTCCGGGGCCACCCCGGGATCGTTCCTCCCCGAAAGGAAATTCGGCTGTAGACAGCAAGGGGGCAAGACGAACCCGCGATCCAGGGAACCGTCAGTGAGATCAATCCGAGGCACTTCATCCTCCCGTCACCGTTTGGGGACCAGGGGCTGCGCAGGGACCCAGTTCCCCGCGGAGATGAGGTCGTTCTCGAAGAAGCGACGACCAGCTCCCTCCGCACAGCAGGGGCCCGAGCTGGAGCACGGCGGCTACCCCTATTCATCGGATTCATCACTCTTTCCTCCATGGAACCCATTGAACCTGCAAGACGAACACAAGAAAAACAGTTAGAAGCAAAATCTAAACAAGTGACAGGATCAGCCCGGATGCACCCAAACTACCTAGGAGTCGATGAGCCTCAGCCTCCGTTCTACATTCGAGTAGAGCCTTTACGTTAATATATCGGGTCTCTGTCAATATCTGCCCATCTTCGTCACAAATATACTCCCCGTCAGGGGACACACACTTCTGAGGAGGAAGACGACCAACGAAGTCAACCAACCTTCGGAAGGCCAAGTTGTCCTACTCGCCCAGCCGACCAGGCCTGAAGATGAAGTTGTCAGTACCCGAACAAAAATGCAGGTCCCCCAGTCCAAGGGGAAGTAAGACTCATAGTTGTCCTTGAGACGCCCATCCACGACTATAAATTCCTTTCAAAATATGGTCTCATACGTTTCATCTGTGTCCGGCATGAACACGAACCAGCGATCTTTAAAGACCCGAACATAGTCGGTATACGACCGAAAGAGCTTGGTCGCCTGCTTCAGCGAAACCTAGCTATGTCGACCAGCCGTCGTCTGGAGTTGCAGGTGGAAGACATGGAAAAATAAAGGAATGGTGGCCCCGAGCTCCAGGTAGTTGCAGACGATTTCAAATGCTTGGATGAAAGCTAGGGAATTTCGGTGAAGTTTGGATGACACCAGCATGAGATGATGGAACACACCTTGCTGGAAACCAGTGAAAGGCATTCACATTCCCACCTCTTTAAAGGCGAACTCGTACATCGGGAACCGACCGCCAAGATATCGTGAGCATATGCGATCGGTCTCCCGGGGGCGGCAGGCACGGAACTGACGGGGGCTCCCCGCCACCCTGTCTTCTATCACCGCGAACGCATCAGAGTCGTCGAGGACGAACCTCGACATATAATTTAAGGGTTCATCCCCGACCCACTCCTCCAAAGGTCTCTCCGGAGGATCCAGGTCGACCTCGTCCTCGCGGCCCTCCTTGTCCTCGGATAGATACCACTCCACCTCTTCCTCAGTGTGACTAGCCATTTTATACCTGAAAAACAGAAAAGCTTGGTGAATTTGACAACCAAATCAAATCCACCCTTCCACCGCAGTTCAAGTGAAAGGGTGTGGTCGCCTAACAGCCTATAGGACGAGCTGAGGGCAAACTTAACCCTCGCGGAGACTAGAGAGTACACCCTTTGTCCTCGGCGCACACATCCACTTGTGCCCGGGGCATTCATCCCATTGTCCTCGAGGAATTCAAAGTTCTTTCAAGTCCTCCCCAGGGCACCCAGGGCCGGGGACGGTCGTTCTCTACCCTAATTTTGAAGGATCCTCCAGCGTATTCGCCGAAAAAACCCACGGTATTCCCAGCATCCCTAGCGGGGCCGCCGGAAACACCGTCGTGAACAGCAAAAAACACCAGGAAGAATGCAGAAACTTACTTGATGTGGATGCTGAAAGGTTGTCGCCGGGTAGAAAAATCCCAGATGTCGAGCAGAAACGACCCAAGTTGTTGGGCAGAAGTCTTGTAATGTTGAGCAGCTACAAACAAGCGAATGAGCGAAAGGACGAGCTAGGTCAACATATATATACCCCTAGCACGGGAAATGAAGCGTCGCTAGGCACTCAAGTGCCTAGGCCGTAACCGTCACAGGAAGACATGTGGCGACCCTCCACCTTCCCTGCGTCTCTTTAACTTCTTCCCTTGACCGTGGGCATCTCCTCGACGTAAGTTCACCTGGCCGACGCGATCGCACCCTGCCCGACGGGGATCTGCCCGACAGATCAATACACGCGACGCCATTCTCTTCTCAAGTCATAGCTCGCCCGACCGCGAACTACGACTTGGGGGGCTACTGTTCTGGACTGACCCGACGCTTAGCCCACAACCAAGCAGGCCCAAGCCCCAATGAGGTTGGGCCCAAGAATACCATGCTGACGGGCAGAAGTCCCGTCGAGGACCACCTCTCCCCGTCTGGCATAGGCCAACAGCTGTCTGGCAGGTCCCTCGCAACCGACCAGCCAACCTCTTTCTCCCCCATGGTCGGGCAGAGTCCAGTCTACCTGGGGAGATCCTCGGGCTGCCCCCACGTCCTCCACGTGTCCCTCACGCAGGAACACGTCATAAAGTAACTACCCACGTCCTGGAGATTCGGTCTTCCTCCTCCCGGATAGTGCGAAACAGTTACCCTAGGGCAAAGACCATGTACTGGTCTTCACAACGCCACGTCAACCCTACCAGTTACTAATGTTGGGTCTGGCAGCCCAGTCCATTGCTAGATAACCGTTGGCTCTACGTTGGGGGCTCACTATATATACCCTCTCCACTAGAGGGTCAGGTAACTTAATTAACTTACTCTCTCTCTGTACTTGCTTCCATTCTGCTCGTCACTTATTTTGGCATCGAAGTGTGTTTCAGGTACATCCCCCTGCTCCTCCATACCTTCGGTGGACATCTAGCAGATCAACGACGTGTGGTAGATCATAGATCCCCTTCTGATCAAGTACGATCATAACTTATGAGTTGTTATCTAATACACTTATTTTTTTCATTTTAGAGTGCAAATCATTGACTTTATTTTGACGATTGAGGTTCGAAATCTCAACTCTTAGAACATAATAACAAACACATGCTGTATTTTTTTTATTAACTTATTTTATTTTCAATCATTAACATCCTTATCAAGTATACATTATATTTTGTGTAACCATATTCTTAATCTTTTGTTTAAAAAATTTGTTATTATAATTTTTCAATATAAAATGCTCATTTGGAATGACCTTTTTACAAGTATATATCAAAAAATTATGTCTATTATAAGTTTTATTTAAACAACAATTGCTACTGCAAAATCATCTAGTACTAAACCAGAAGCATCATCTCCTAGATATGACGTTGCTCATGAGACTAGTGAGTCCTATATGTAAAAGAACTTGCTATAATTCATAACATCACACAACTGAAACAAAAATTCTTTTAGAGTAACAACATTTGACACAAAAATGTTAAGTCTAATTACAGAATCAGTTAATTCTGTTTCTTTTCCTTATATAAAGACCTTTGTGTCATTCACAAATCAACAAATGAATCCATTAAGTATTTCTCGTTTCTTCATATATCATAATATCATAATGCAATAAATTACAAAGAACTAGTATTATATGACAAACCAAATATCAGAGCCATCTTTGAGAGCATGTAAGGCAGACTACCGCACAGGATCTAAATTTTGACACCGTTAAACAAATAACTAAATAGAATCTCGTAAAATATTTGTCATGATCAAGACGACCCTGCTAAACATCATAAAACTTATTTTAGTTTCTGCAAATTAGACACGAAACTTGATGCAGCAAAACCAGCAGAGCCACCTAAAACACTGATCAAAGCAACCACAACCTGTAATCCAATCTCACCAAAGTTATCTTCCGGAACAAGGTAAACAAACAAAGGTCCTAAAACAAGTAAAACAAAGCTGAGTGTGAAGAGTGATCCTGGTGTTGTTGGATCAGTAGCAGCAGACAAAACACCGAGTTCTTCTGCTTTTGAGAGGAGACCAAGCTTCTCTATTGTTGAAAGAGATAGCCCAAATTTCTCTGCTGCAGATAGTAACCCCGCTTTCTCGGCTTTTGTTAACAGTCTCAGTTGTTCCATTCTTGTGAGAAGTTTTATGGAAGGTGATGCTGTTACAGCGCTCCTAGGTTTTTCCCCAAGTGGAAATACAGTTGAGTTCTGCAATTGTGTTAGTGAATTAGCAACTGTTAAAATCAAAATTTTGACACTGGAAACATGAGTAATTGCGGCAGGACCGTCTTTAAAAGTATGCAAAGTGGACTAAAACATGTAGTCTTAAATTTTTCACATTTAAATTACGATTAAAAAAAATCTCATAATAGATTTGTCATAATTAAACCATGTTTAAATAAGGGACTCTAGCTCAATAGACAGAAGCTGATATTGATAGGTTGAACGCGGACACCAACCTTAAACTCTTGTACTCACGATTGTGTGTGTCAGGGTTAAACCATAGTTAACAAGCCAGTGACTCTAAAAACTTTAGACGGCTCTGAATTGCGGATTTGAGTCCCCGCTCTAACATTTCAATTTTATGTTAAATTCTACTTAGAGTACAAAAGTTTTATACAAGTCTCTTTTTTACAAATCAATAACAATTTATCTTCCACCTTCCACAGTTGCACTCATCATAATATTACAAAAAAGGAATCAAAATTTAAACAACTATATAGATTATAACAAATCATAATAACAAGTAGGAGAAAAAACATATCAGTTATGCAGTGATTATTTTGCACTGACCTTTTTAGAAGATACGGTTCTAGAGACAGATGGTGGAGGAGGTTTGGGAGTAGCCATGGATTTGACCAGAAAAGGTGAGAAAGTGTGAGAGTTTTGAGTTGATGGTGAAGAGTAGAAGATGAAGCTGTTACTACAAATGGATGGTGAGGTTTTCATTGTCATCATCATAAGTTTCTTTCTTTCTTTCTTTCCGGTTTTGGTTTCTCTTATCTCTTGATTGTTGAGATGAACAAGAGAATCCTAAGACATGGTAACGAGTGGATGAAGATAATGATGATGAGGCAGAACACAGTCCAGGGATTGGTTTTTCA